TGGAGGGCTGGGGGTGGGGGGGAGAAGGGGTGGCAGCTTCCCAGGTTCAGCTGAATTCCCTGGGCAGACAGCGGCACTGGGAGGGCTGCCCGAAGTCCAGCCGGGCAGTGGCTTTGGCTTCAAAGAGCTCTGGGCCCCGGGCAGCAGGCCGGGTCAGGTGTGCACGGCACACCCTCTCCAGTTCCTGGAACTCTTGCTTCTCTGAGAGCTCATCGGGCAGCTTCCTTTTGGGGGAGAGAGCCAAGGGCTCAGACACTTAACTGACTGCGGCTCCCACCCTACCCTCAGAGCAGGGTGATGGGGCCGAGGGGCAGCTGGCGGGCTGCGTCAGTCAGCTCAGGCCTGCAGCGGACGCTGGAGGGGCCTGCAGGGAGCCCTCAGGGCTTGTCATGCCCCTGGGTTAAGGTGCACCCCACCTCTCTCCCCACCAGGCCAGCTCAAGCTGGTAGGTTTTGGGGGAGCAGTGTCCTTTCGCTGGTCCCTGCCTCCTCCTGACCACGTAAGGAAGGTTCAGGCCCTAGCGTGCCCATCAGTCACAGTGACTATGACCTGTCCCACCTGGGAGCCACCGAGTAGGGCAGACGCAGGTGCCCTGAGTAGGGGGTGACCCCCCAGGGCTTCTAGCACCCCATGCCCTGCCCTCAGCTACCTTGGCCAACGCAGCCCAGCATGGGTGGCCTCACAAAGCCCCTCCCCTGCTGCAAGTGCCTCCCCTCCCTGCAGGTAAAGTCACCTGTGTTTTCTTCCTCATCACACAGGAATGTCAGCAGGGCAGGCTGCTCTCCCACCCCATTGTTAAAACGGCCACATCCTCACTGCCTGACTCCTCGACAGGCCCAGGCCTGCCCCGGCTGGCCTACTGCCCCCTGCCCCCTGCCTCCTGCCGCGAGTCCACTACACCTGTTTACCAGGCCCCAGCCTGGGATGGAGCTGCACCTGCCTCCGGACCACCCCCTTCCATCCTGCCCCTACACAAGTCTGGGTCAGTGGTAGGGGCGGGGGTGGGAACAGTTCCTCCCTCTCCCTAGCTCAGCTCAGCAGGAGACCTGGCTAGTTTGCTCCAGGAAAGCACTAGAAGCTCAAAAAGCTCCAGAACTCCAGTGGTGGCCAAGGGGATCCCTGGGGGCTTTCCAGACCCAGGAGGCACCAGCCCTGGCCCTCCTGTGGAGTAGAATCTACTCTGGGCTGGGCAGGGGTGAGGTGGAGGGGTGGTCCAAGAGCAAACTTGGCCATTCTACCCCTCCCTTTATCACGCTGGGGCTGGGGGGAGAGAGGATGGGAAGAGGAAGGAGGTTAGGGGGCAGCAGTGGGCTCCTTGCTTTGGGAAGCAACTTCCCCCAGCACCCAGGAATGATGGGGCTCAGGGGCTGGTCCTTCCATAGCGAGGCTTGCGGGTTGGAGTGAAGAGATGAGGAGACTGCTCAGCGCCACAGAAGCCACAGGACAGTGAAGGCGGGGGTGGGGGGGGTGATGGGCGGGCTCCGGGCATCTGCAGTTCGCATGGGTCAGGGTCAGAGCAGATCAGGCCAGCGCTGGGTTCCTGACTTGGTGGCAGCATCAGGGTGAGGTGGAGAGTCCTTGCTTTAAGGACATTCTCAAGTCTGCGGTGGTAATGGGATGTCATGGCAGCGCCTTGCTGCCACGGTGCAAAACATTTGTTTGGGTGCTCGCTTCGGCAGCACGGGTACTGAAATTGGAACGATACAGAGATTAGCATGGCCCGGCGCAAGGATGACACACAAACTCGTGAAGCGTCCCATATTTTTGAAGGAGAAAGAAACATTTGATGGGGAGTACATGGGATCTGTAAGTGGCAGGGAAATGAACATTGAAAAAAGGAGACCGCTGGGGCCAGCAGGTGGCATGGAGGTTAAGGTTGCTGGATCCCACGTGGCCAACCTCGTAGTTCGAGTCCTGGACCGAGAGTTAAAAAACACACCGGACATGGTGTGTACGTGCCCCACATCCTGAGAGGAGAATGGAGGAAAAGAGACTGTGGCATGGCCAGCCTCCCTGGGGGGTGATTTCTCACTCCTCTCTCGTTCTCTCTCTCCTGTGAGCACATGTGTCTTATCGCAAATACAAAAAAAAAGAAGAGAGAAAGAAGATACCGTGTTGTGGGGGGGGGGGGGGGTGGGGATGAGGGCGAGGGTCATGAGATGCCTTCGCGCTGCCTGCTGACAGCTGTGTGGCTTTGGGGGGGCCTTTAAAAGACGCCGGTGCCCAGGTCCCACCCCAGAGATGCTGGTCTAATTGATCTACTATGTCTGATTGGTCAGGACCAATTAGAGGGAGACAGTCCTGCTTGGCCGGGGGCAAATGCACGCAGTGCCTTCAGTCCTGTGCTGGCCAGTGGGCTGTCCTGGTCCCTCATGGTGCCACTCTTCCCCCAGCACCAGGGACACACCTGCCTGTCTGTCTAGGGTGTACCCGCCTTGGCCAGGACCGGAGGCTGGTCCGGGGCAGTGGAGAAGGTTGTAGGGAGGAAGTGGGTGGGCGTTGGGGAGAGGGCGGGAGGATGGCAGCCCCTCAGTAGTGTGTGAGGAAAGGCTCCACCCTGTGGCCTGTGGAATATTTGGAATAATTAGCAAGTGAAAGCAGCAGCCAGTTACAAGGACAATGCCGGGTTGGCCTAGAGCCAGCCTCTAGGACAGAGAAAGAAAGGGGCCTGTGGAGGCGGAGGGACAGTGCCTGTTGGTGTGCACACCCGTGTGCGTGTGTGTGTGCATGCAAGCTGCTCCAGGGAGGCAGTACATCTGGGTGTGGAGGTGGATTCCGGGCACAGCTGGGGTGAGGGGACTGCGCGGTGCCGGCTGAGGCTGACATGGCGACATGCTGTTCTACGCTGCTGCTCTGCCTGGAGGCTAAGGCCACACGGGAGGCCCGGTTTGATGCCTGGCCCACCCTAAAGGCCTTAGTCCAAGCTTCTCGGAAGGCTGAGGCCAGAGGATCAAGTCATAGGAACCACGTTGGGGGTAGGGGGAGTGTCTACTGAGTGTCGCAAGACACATTTCCTGTGCCCGTGTGTCCTCTCTGAAGTCTGACAGCCTGGTCCATCACAGAGTGGCCTGCTGACCTGAGCACCTGCCCCTATTTCCCTGCTGGTCTTCCGCCTCCCAGGCCTATGGCGGGCCAGGATGAGTCAATACTCAGAGTGGGAAGTGGGCGCCTGGGGGCTGGGGCCCTCAGACTCACAGCCAACCCCTCCAGGAGAAGACTGCAGGAGGGAGGTGCTGGAGACAGGCCCAGGCCGGATACAGACTCAAGCAGGCGAGCCTGGGCAGGCCCTCGAGGTGGGGGACTGCTGGGCCCAGCCTTTGTGAGTCCCCAGGGCTGGGCGAGACGCACCCCCGCCCTTTGTCTCTTGCTCCCCTGGCATGGGGGAGGGCTGGGGTGAGGTTCTCGCCATTGCACAGATGGAGGAGCTGAGGCCCAGGCTACAGGGGACTCCCCAGAGCCACCTCCCAGCTCCTTCCTCCAGGGACACTGAGGTCATAGGAGTTTGCCAAGGGTCCCTTACAGGCCCTCATTGTCCCCCATCTTCCTCCCAACCATTTTCTCCTTGGGCAGGGAAGTTCTAGTCCCAAAGAAAGTATTGAGCAGGTCTATTTTCAGATTTTAAAAAATTTTTATTGTAAATAACTTTCCATGAAAAAGGTTAATTGCCACAGGGGGCAGGAGGGTCGGTGTGGGCTGCAGCCCAGGGAGTCAGGGTGGAGTGAGACAGCCCCCTCCAAGTGCAGGCAGGGGCAAGGGCTACCCCGTTCCCGGACCCCACGGATCGCTCCTAGTTAGGCCTCAGGTCTAGCTACACACTACATTAGTCTGTCTGTCCACGCCCCCGCAGACTCCAGCCCCAGAGCAGCTACCCCTGGTGGGGAGGAGGCAGATTAAGGACTCATGTTCTCCTGCACCCTATTGATGGGCCAGGTGAAGACCCTCAGGCCTCAGAGGAGGTCTCCTAGCCCCACCCCACACACCCCCATTTCGAGCTCCCTCTTTCCTCCAGCCCTCTGCCCAGCTCCGCCCACCCCACTCCTGCCAGCCCTGCTCCAGGGAGTCTCTGCCGGGAGAGGCCTCCAGGGGGTTAATTTGCTGTCACCTAATTAGCATCTGTTGTACTTGGGAACTTTCTCTGGATGGAGACCTGGGGAAGCAGGAGGGAGAGGGAGACAGCTGAATTGCTCTGGGGAGGGCCCTGTTCTGTCCCTCCCCAACCCGGCCAGGGCCCATCCAGGCGTCAGCTGCTCAGTGCAGGGCCGAGGGGACTCCGGTCAATGAAACACTGTGTGTACGGGGCTGGGGAGGGGAGGCAGCAGCTCTGGTCCCGGGCCCTGGTTCTTGGCCTCCTGGGCTTGATTCTGAGGGCAGCCTGGGCGGGTGGCGGTGTGGCCTTGTGGGGCCTGCCTTGGGGGCCTGACCCAGCCCCTGCCTGGGCAGAGGAGTGTTAGGGGGGGCAGTTCCTGGGCCCTGATTTGGGCACTGTCCGGAGGTGGGGGCAGGGCCTGGCCTCTTACAAGAAGGCGCCCACACTGGCCCAGTCCTGCAGGTCAGCGGCCAGAGTGGCATCTCCCGGCTCCAAGAGGGGTTCCGGGGGGAGGCAGGC